TTTCTAAATGCCTATTTCGATTTTCATTAATTTTAGAATCAACAGTTACTACAAAAATTGACGTGGAAATATAAAAAATAATGTTTGGTTTATTAATAAATGTTTGTATTTTTGTTGCCCTCTGTACAAATAACTTAAAATTGTTTCCATTTCTAGCTGATTTTAGTTTGAAACTTTTTTACTAGTTTCTCAAAAAAATATATGTACAATACTCTGCAGATCTTCATTCTTGTAAAAAACATTAGACAAATTCGCTTTTGTGTTTGCAAATGTATTTATTGCTCAGAAACAATACTTGACGTGACTTAAATATTTCGCACGTTTGACAAATTGATAACATTTACTGTTTTTTGGACACCAAGATCATCCCGTCTAACGCCGAGAGATTTCATCTGTGTGGCTCTCCTATAAATCATAATTGCATACTTTTCCCATCGCATCAGATGCCCAAAGTGCAGCTCAATGTTCGGAAAAGAAGTAATTTATGTGTTTGGGAAAATGGTCAACATTTTCAACATTTGYTTCAATAATTAAATCAGTTCAATTATTCAGAGTTAATACTTTTCCATGTCAKTTTTTGGTTCTGAAGCATTAAGAATCTGATTTGCTTGCTTTGATYGAAAATTTGRATAAAGGTGTCGTAATTAATACTTTGTACAGAAACCGTAGGGCGGACGAAAATTTGACAAGAATAATTTTCAATTTTTCGCCGTTAYGGTCTTCTAAGCCCATAAGCCCATAAGGTYAAGTAACTTAAACATTTTTTTGAATGTAAATACTCTTTTGTGCAGTAGATGGCCAATTTCAGCTGGTTACAGTGATTTTCGAGGGCCAATTCTGAAGACTTGAGCCTTTTCAACACCTTGAAGGCTGTTAGTACAACCAGAAGTCTTCTAGAAGTTTTCTGCCAATATTTAACATTTTTTGGGAAAATCTTCTCGCGGAAAAGCTATATTTAATAGTCTTGTTTTATGCAGTGAGACCAGTCTATGTTTTAAACAGTAAGTTTAAACAATCGTAGACACTCCAGTTTCTATTCAAGTGGCATCAAACCCTCAATTTCCGAAAACAGTGAACTTTCATAACTGTATCTGACTGTGACTGTATTCAGAACGCTTTACACGTTTCGGGATTTGTTAACAACCTTCACATTATTTACTCATTCCCAATTCTGGTTGAAGTTGATAGTTTTGCTTTGTTTGACCTGTTTTCGACGACCAGCAATATCAGCATACGAATAGAATACGGTTAATTGCAGGTCTCATGCATGTATTCTACCGGGCAATTAGAGTTTGGGAATCAACCCTGAAATCGAACAGTTTGGGCACATTAATGTCGATTGGTTTTGAAACACACAAAAGCATTTTTATCTGTCTTTGTGGAGTAAGCTTGGCAATGATTTGTGCGATCCGCAAATGGTTTAACAGCAAACGAAAGCGTAAAAAGGACACTAAATGTTTTTCATAGTGAAAAAGGGTACAGTTGACGATGAGTCCAGATTGATCAGATAGTCAGCCGCAGGCCATCAAAGCATGTTTGCACAAAAAAGTCAAACCAGATACAGAACGAGTCTACAAATAACAGATTAGGATTATCAACAAAACGGCTTTCCGAATGGTCACCTCGCAAAAAAAAGTGTTTGCCCTGTTAATTGAATGACCCACAGCCTACATATGTGTAACACGAGCTGGAATCCCAAGAACATCTATTACTCTAATTGCTTTCGGTTTGAATGGGGGCTATTTGACTTCTCAGATAGCAAACATTTAGTGGGGTGTTGGTTGAGCTGAGTACATGGGCCGAGAAAGTTGCAAATGTTGACGTCTCTATTTTCAGTCGGTACATTTTACCACGAATGAGGTTTGAAAGCTAATTAGCTCCGCAGCTCTAACAATTACCAAAGGTTTATGTTTACCCAACGTTTCACTAGTAAACATCAAACCTGGGGGTCAAGTTAGTTGGGACATTGATATGTTTTTTTGCTTTAGACAATTCTTGAATGTCCCATCATCTTTTTGGCGTGTCCTGGAGTCTTAAATGCAAAGGTTTGCGGTTTTCCTTTGTCGCAACCCTACGCGGTTCCATCTGATTACCCTTAGAATACCCCAACCCCGGTTCACTTTTCATTGCACATTTGAAATTTGGGGTTTCCGGTTGAAATTTCCTTGAGCAGTTGTGTAGAATTGGAAGAAGAAGCAATCCAAATCGTCTTCGGCGTCTGCCACTATGACTGCATCATCGGCACAGCACTAGATATTTTTGGAATTTCCACCTTTTATTCAGTACGGTTTCAAATAACTCTGGGCTCAAGCTTTCGCTTTGATTGGCTGTTCTGGTGGTGAAGAAGTGGCATCGTAATATTCATTTCTTTCATAGCCTTGATCACGTTTTTTGAGGTTGCGTTCTGAGCAAAGAATATCATCGAATTATTTCTAGTTGCTTTGCAAAAGGCAGCGCCTCCCAATGATCGATTATTTCGGAAAGTTTGTCCTTCTTCGCATATTTTCATGACTTTCCTTTATTTTCGGGATATCTGTTGTCAATAGTCTTAAAATAGAACATATTCAGTTCATGCCTCTATAGCTATTCGGATTCGATTTACAGAATTTTTTATTTACAACAGGAGCAGCATAATTCACATTCATTAATCCTTCCTACAAATTACTGAAACTCCTGTGATTATCTTTTGTTCAGCGCCTGTATTTTAGTGTCTATTCTATTCTTAAAATTTTCTTCTATGAATTACATATTCTGTATTTTATTTAATATGCCCATTTGTCTTCTCTGAAGAAGTAAATTAAAATCAAAGCACAGAAAGATTAATGAAAAATATATTGGCAAAATGTAGTCCGGTTGTTTCGTTTTAAATATTTCATCGAATTTTCGAGAAGGCAATGAATAAGTATAGGAAAATACTAAACAGAAAGAATTGCCGATTCTTGGATGTTTAAAGCGGTTGAATTAATTTTCATTTCTTATATCAACATTCCCACTTTGCAAACTGATTGGAGCTTATTTATCTAAAATAAACGATTTCGGAATGTTTGAGGAAAACTGCAAGAGCGGAAGGGCCGTATATTTTTAAAGATCCGAACTACAGAACGAATTTTTCACTGGCATCGTTTACGTTCTATTGGGCGTAATAAACGATCCTATTTCCAAAATCGATCTCCAGTGCACATTTACTTTAATTTCCTTTTTCTTTTTATTTCGTGATCATGCCGTATTCTAACCAGAGATAATCGAAGGCAGGTTGTTTATTATTTTGATGGCGATTCCGTGGGCGCGCTGATCGATTCCGATTAGAGAATGTACGAAATACATTAGCCGGTCGACCAAAAATAATGCCGGTCTATTAGTGATTTAATGGGTCGCAATTAGGATACGTCGATGGAGAGAAGATGCCACAAAAAGAAACACTTTCTTAGTGTTTCACTTATTTAGCGGTAATAAATCTATTTTCCACCTGACGTGAAAAACGAACCGGTCGGTTCGCAGACAAATTAAGCCAAAGCGCCATTAATTTCCAGATAGCTTTTTTCGTATTAGCCAGAAAAACATTGTTTTGCATTAGAAGTAAAAAGTAAAAACGCACGAAAATTAGCTTCTGCTCCGCCTTGAAATTGTTAAACAAAAAGACACATTTTCTATCTGATTTCTGCCATATAATATAGAAAACACAAGAAAATCCTGTACAATTAATGCAAGTCGAGGCGCTGAGAGCGTTGGCTTGCCGTAATCCCAATCGAAATTAGCCACTGCATTTAATTTTCCTTCTGCTTAACGCCCGCCATAATCCCCATTCCGAGATTTTTCATTCCCAGCGAAAAATTGGCCTCGGAATCACATGCAAAAGCCCAAGAAAGTGCTGTTCCCAGCCAAATCAATTCGACTTCAGTCTTAATCCTTTCCAGATTTTCTTGCTAGAACCGGACCCGAACTCCGTACCACTACTGATCGAAGTTTATTCGAAAGCTAATTTGTACACCAGAAATAATCGGTTCGGTTTGTCGTGGGAAAAGCCCACCTGGAACTGTTACCCCCGAAAGATAAACCAGTTTTCCATCATCCAGTTTTGACCTGCTTTGCTAACGTAACGCAAACTTCGACGGTTTGTTTGGACTGGTTATTGATATGTGCTGTTCAACAAGCCGGACACTTGTTGTTTCTGAATCTGATTATCCATGAGAAATATATACGATGTCAACGTTTTACTCATCGAATCCATTCAATTTGAAGAGAGAACTGGATTGTTCACATTTATTGAGGCATTGAAATTGATCAAACATTCAAATATTTTTTAAATTGATTCCTCTTTGACTTTAAGGTGTCGCTGAATATAGCTTTAAGTTGTATTGGCTTAATCAGTAGATCCTTCCGTAATCGAACATGAAGTTATTTGCGTTACCAAATGAAACCCTATTCGGAGGGAAACACAGTCGCTTGCCTCTGCCAAATTGCTTTTTCCTAAGACTACAATCCAAATACCACAACATAAACAAAATCGGGAGACTTCCGCTCGAACGATAAGTAGTTTAATTCCGAACGGAACGGAAGCAAGTTCTGCCTTCTGTTTGAGATTCAAAATTGTATGCGAATATGGGAGTTAAATTCGTCCCACAGGCATTTAGTTCTCTTGTGCTTTCCCGAATATACTTTATAAAGTGCATATTACCGAATATAAAATGCATTAAACTTTGAATGGAACATCCCGGTCGTAAAGCGAATTTAAGCATATTAGAGTTTAACTGTCTTCTATCTGTGTTCATTCACTGTGATTTATGCACTGGACTTTTAGTCTCTGTTAAAATGACTTTTTTAACTTTGCTTGAAAAGGCATGAGAGAAAGCATTTAAAATTTCGTTTACCTTTGGTGCTCGTGGAAAGTGGGAAAAATACAATTTCGTTTTTTAAGCTTTCATGTCGATATAAAAATACAGTTTTACTTGATGACCAAGTTAGTGGCCAGGCGAAGAAAATTTTAACTAAAACCGATTTACCTGTACAAAGGTTCTCCTATGCTCTCTTTGAACCACAAGACCATAGCAACAGAATCGTTGTGCTTCTTGGTTGTAATGCTACATGGCAGTCCTTTGCTCTTTCCCAGTACACCATGGGCTTCCTCCGTTGGAACTGTAAATAGAGAAAAATTTCTAAAGAAACTGGTGTTAAAAGACAGTCATTAAATCGCTAAAGGAAAGACATTGAGAAGGAAGAAACACGTGCTGAAAGAAAAACGTCCCCAGATAACGATAAAACAAAATTAGGCGCGGCAAAGAACATCTTTAAAATCGGAAAAAATAGAATTGCCTCTGGAAAGTTAGAGCTGCTTGTTATCTATTTATCTTACTGGCGTTTGGGGAGTGGTTACGTTAAATTTTTCGCCATTTGTGGATCTTTGGAGTTTGGATTCGGTGAAGAGTACGTTCGGGTCCGCAATGCGCGTCCTCGACGTCAGTGACAACACTGAGTTATTGCAGCATTAACTTTTTTACGTTTTCTCTTCGAGAATAAATTAGTTTTATGTCGGTATTTTCGAATGCAAATCACAATTTTTTGCGTGTTTCGCAAGACCGAAGCGATTATTCGTGCTTGTTTTTTTATCGCGCTTTTTTCGGTCCTAAATTAAAGTTATTTATCTTTGCCGCGTAATCTTCTTTAGCCGGCAGCGTTTTGTTAGATGTGCCACGGAGATTTACAATTTTCGCAAAGCTACGGTCTAATTAAAGGCTTGCACAGTACAATGATTTAGAGTTACCACTCTTTGCTCATACACACATATTAAAGACCCGGCGATATAATAAATGTTGTTTTTATTTCTGCACCAAGCAGGCCTCTTTGTGAGGTCGCCTCCCAATTTTTCTCTATGGGCAACAAATGAGAATTGCAAAAAATGGAATTTGTTTTCGACACAATATCAAGTGATAATTATATTGTACATAACGAACATGTCAGGTTAATACGATTATAGTAGCGGTGAATGTGCGAAATTGCTTGCTTACAGGTAGTGACACAATATTTTTCACTCAAATTTCATTTTCCAGATTTTCAATTTGCGGGGATTGATTTAGAAATATGATCCGGGCGGTTCGAGGGTGGGATTTGGTTTAAAACAAAAATATATTCTGAATTGGATATACATTTTTCGGAAGTCTGACAAAATTGATTCCGAAGATAATCGTTCTACTAGGTTTCTGATGTTTTACAATAAAAATTTTTTTTTATTGCTTTGTTTATTAGTTAATTTATTCCGCGTAAACTTTCCTTGACATTTTTTAAACATGAAAATTCACTGTCGATACGATTATTTCTATCTGGAGGCCCGGAAAGCGTCAAGCCGATGAAGGCAGCGAGTTTTGTAACACCTTCATTTTAATATTAAATGAAAAACAGATATTTAGATAATTTTTTGCTGCATCGTGCATTTTTTGCTGCAAATTCGTGTTTGAACGTTTTCGAGCTTTATACTATCAATCGAAGAAGCGAAAACTTTCTTGGGGAGAGAAAGCTAATTAGCGTACAACTGAGCTTGAACCTGGTGATTTTTTAGGGCTTTTAGACGTCGAAAACAATTTTTTTTTGACGTTGAAAATAATTAACTTTCGACGACGATCTAAAAGCTCTGAACATTCGTCAATTTTATGCAATGGGTGCGTGCGACGGCTTGAAGATGCATTAAGTTTGAAATTACTTTCTGTATGCAGTTTGGTTTCACTTTACTCGCATCGATTGGGAAATCTAAAGGAAAACTCTTAATCTACCTGAATGATCATTTATTTTGATCGCATTGTGAAACTAGGACCGCATTTTTATCCCTGATACTTATGCAAGTTTCCGACCGATAAGAGTAGCGAATTCCAACAAGAAAACTGCTTACAAGTTGATATAGTTTAATGGTTTCGGGGGCTCTTTAAGTTGATTTTCATGCCAAAGTTCTTCCGAAATGTTCTTGAAACGGCATAATTCAAAAGGAACTCTGACGTAAACTTTAACGCTAGTTCCAGGCCCGTCCATGTGAAAGTAATCTCGCTAGGTATAACTCTATGGAAGTCGCCGAAAGATAAAGTATATGGAAGTGTAATAGATATGAATAATTACATTCCCTTATCATGTTCAGTGGGGATTTATTCTCCCTTTAAATTAGACGCTGTAAAATAAGCAGGAGAAGAGATAATGTCGGTCAACGAGAACCTAATTTCTCATCGAATAAGCGGCCGCGACTTTTATAATTTTCCTCTCCCTGTTTTCTTAATTTATAATTGTGGCGGAAAATTTAAAAAGTGCGAGATCCGCATAAAGATAAGTGACCCTAATTACTGGGGTGTTTTAGTGATGCCTGAAAAGTCTTGGAAATCTTTCTCGACGAACACATTAAGATGGAGATTTGTTCTGTTGTTGGCTTACGAAATTGCTCTTAGGCATTTGAAGGTTCGCGCATTGATAATATACAGGGTGTCCCACCGGGAACCGCCGCGATCGATATCTGTCAAACTATAATTAGGAGAAATTTTAAAATTGGACAGTGTGCCGAAATTATCGGAAGCTTGCGATCTAAAATATTTTCAAAATGGCCACACTTCCGGTTATAGCAGAAGTAGGTATTAACTTGCCAATTTGAAATAGATCACCCTATTTATTATTAGATTTTTGGACTCTACTGCAAACTATAAATATATCTCATGTATAATTCATATACCTATAAGTCTATCCGTTTCTGATATATTAGAAATGTTATGTAAAAATTACAGTTGCAGCCAATTGAAGAGAATCCATTTTTCCTATTAGGAAATTTGTGCTACTTAATCTGAGTCGGATTTCTTGTTGAAAAAGACTTACTTTAATCGAATTTGCACAATATTTTGATAGCTATTAAGTAATACAAAGTGTTAAAAAATAAGTTTCAAACCTGTATTGAGAAAACCGCCCAAAATATTTTTTTTAAATAGAAACCCCCATTTTTGATCATTTTACCTTATTCTGTATTAAAAATAATGGCAAGTTTATGTAATGTTGTCTATTTCAAAAGTGTTTGGTTTTCAAAATAGTGTTAATTAAATGTTTATGTAAATGCTATTTTGTCGCATCTTATTTTCGAATATTGAAAATACCCAAACAGCCCACTTGAATTCATTCAACATGCGAAAACACCACCATCGAGCCAAAACAAGAAGCTTCGGTATTCCATTCATGGTAATATTTACGCTACTTTACTACACATTCCGAGACTCCGATGGTCACGTGGGGCCAAATTCCTCGGAAA